TCAGCTTTGCAGGTACAGGTCACTGCCTACCCGTCTACGGGTGTTCCGCAGTTTAGCGTACAGAGTTCCTCCTTCCCGGGCTGCGATCTTGGCCTGGAAACTATGGCAGAGTTTCAAAGGGTCAGGATAGAAGTCTTGGTAAGAGGCAACAACCTGCATATCAACCACATAACAAGCACAACCTGCTCGGATTTTGGCCTCACCTCCTGTTGGCTGAGTTGGTGGTAATGCGATTTGGCACAAAGAGCTTTCTGACTCTGACAGGGACAGGGTCTTGGTGGGGCTGTGGTTGAGACGGATGGATGTACTCTGTGCCTGAGAAATCACACTGATTTTTTTTAATACAGTGATGCCCTGCAGAGTTCTGTGATGGGTATGAGAGAACAAAAGTTGAGAGGAAGAGGTTCTAGGGAGGTGACGCTCAGGCCCTGAAGGTGGACAGGAAACAGCAGCTCGGAAAAAAAAAGAGAATCAGAGACCACGGTGCAAGGCAATCAGCTGATCCCGGGCCACCAGGCAGAGGGCACCCAGAGGAAAATTCCCAGCTCTGGTCACCGTATGGAGAGCAGCATTCTCGACTGTATGGCTGGGAGGTTTCCAAGGAGAAATGGAAAAAGAAAAGAGTGCTTTAATCCTCTTCCTGGGTCTGGATGGTGGCGCGTGACAGCAGCTGGGTGGAGGGAAGTGACCTAGATACCCCAGGTCTGAATTCCTAAGCATCAAAAATCTCCGAGCAGGTTCAGCCCACTGGCACGGCAGCTTGCTCCACAGAAAATGCATTACTATTTATGATGCTGACACAGTCAACTTACAAAGATGGATTGGAAGAAAAAGCCCGTGAAGCTGTGTGCCTCAGATTTAAAAAAAAAAATAGAGCTCTGATTCACAACTGTTAGCTTAATGGCAACCAATTCATTTTCTTTGATGGCGCTCGCTTTGAAATTGTGGTTGTTAGAAGGAAAAACAAAGCCCCTGGCTGCCACTCATTCATTCAACAAGCATTTCGTGAGCATCTGCTGTGTGCCAGCGCTGAACCAGCTGCTGAGGTGTGGTGGCGAAGAAGACAGCTCTTGTCTTCATGGAGCTCTCGATATAACTGTGAGCTAGCACGAGCTAGCACCATCTAGAATCCACAGACCAGAACTCCGCTGACAGTGGGCTGGGGTGCGGGGTGCCCAGGAAGGCCCCCTGGAGAGGTCATGTTTGAGCTGCCCGGGGAGTGGAGACGGCAGAGGGCCACGCTAAGGGGCTGGGCTTCCTCCCAGCCAGCGAGGGATTTTAAGCAGAAAGTGACATGGTTAGATTTTCTTTTAGAAGGAAGCACTTGGGGTGGAGAAGGGGGTGTTAATTATTTACAGTGTACTGAGTAGACATTTATTTGGAAATAGTTTGCCTTCTGAATTGGTTGTTGTTTTCAGTCCCTGGTTAGTAACACTCAACCAAAAACAGCCTAGAAAGCTCACTTCTCTCCATTTGGTGGGTTCCCACTGCAGTCTGGATTCTGGAAGTTGAAGGACGGTGGGATTGGGGTCACAAGGGAGTCCCACAGAGCATCCTTTTCCTGAGATTTTATTGCAGGCTCTCAATTATGCCTTTTCCTTTGTGGTCTAACTGCAAGAAGAATTCTGTCTGTAATGCAAGGTGGCGACCTGGGAAGCCATCCTTGACAAGTGTGCTGTACTGAGCGGTCTGGGGCCTCTTTCTTCCACATCCATTAAGTAACCCAAAGACTCCAGGGCAGGAGGGGTGGCTCTGTGTGTGATGAGCTGAATTCTGACTTCCATTCCCCCGCAGTGACCTTTTCCTCTAGGGCAGGGCTCCTAGTCTTGGCACTACTGACATTTAGGGCCAGATAGTTCTTTGTCGTGGGGGCTGTCTGGTGCATTATAGCTGGGGTCCCCAACCTCCACGCCGAGGACCATTACCAGTCCGGGCCTGTTAGGAACTGGGCTGCACAGCAGGAGGTGAGCTTAACTGTAATGTGCCTGAATCATCCTGAAACCACTCGCCTGCCCTGGACAATGGAAAAATTGTCTTCCACAAAACTGGTCCCTGGTGCCTAAAAGGCTGGGGACCGCTGCATCATAGGATGTTTAGCAGTATCTCTGGCTTCTACGCACTAGTTGCCAGTAGCACCCCTGAGTTGTGACAACCGGAAATGTCTCCAGACATCATAAGCATCCTTGTGGGGCAAGACTGCCCCCAGCTGAGACCGTTTGTCTTACAGGACAGTTTTCCATTGTCATCGTACTGGATCTCACGACAGCAAGAGTGCAGTCACTCTTCCTCTTGACACTTGCCTTCCTTGTGCACTCTCCTTGTTTTTCTTCTAATTCTCTGGCCAATTATTGGGAGACTCCTGGGGCTTCCCCATCCTCCTCCTGGTACCATCACTCAGTGCTCGCACCTGAGCCCTTTCCCGTTACACTTTACACTGTCTCCCTCTCCTTCAACCCAGGATTTTAAATGCCTTCTATTAGTGAAACTCTCCCAAGTTCGTCTCCAGCCAGATCTGTCCTAGCGCCGGACTGTTTTATGTTTGTCCTAGATGTCTCACTGGCATCCCGAGGTCCATCCCGTCTTTCTCCAAAATCATTTCTCTTCTAATCCCCAACTACTAGCTGTCTACACCATAAACCTTAAGGTTACCCTGACTCTCCTTTTCCCTCATATTCACATCCAGTCCAGACCTAATCCTTGTCAATTCTGCCTTCAAAATGTACCTTATAACCATCTACTCCCAGCCCTCCAGTCCAAGCTGCCATAGAACCTAAATGACCAATAATGTAGACCATGACAATGACCTCGGGGGGTTCCTGAATTCCACTCTGCTCCCTTCCAGGCCACGCTCCATCCAGAGCAATCTTCCAAAAGCATGAATCAAACCATATCATTGGATTTCTTAAAACGCATTCGATTGCTCTTGAATGAAATAAAATCTACGCGTCTTTACACAGGCCCGCCCCCACAATCCAGCCTCCCGGGTGCCCTTCTTCCTCGTTTCACTGTCGTCCTGGCCTCCTCTCGCCGCCTGGTTCCTGCCACCTCAGGGCTGCAACGCAGGCTGCCGCCTCCGCCCGGAGCGCAGCCCCCCAAGCACTTTCCATTCTGTGGGGGCTCAGCACATCATTTCCTCCAGAACATCCTTCCCAATCCCCTCCTTCCAAATTCAGTTTCCCTTTGTGTACGCAGGTGATTATTTATTGTATGTCTCTGCCGCTAGATGTGGGGGGGGGGTTCTGAGGGAAGGGACCCTCAGTGTCGTTTCTGCCCATTGTCATGTCCCCATCTTAACACTGTATGTCACACTCAGTGAAAAACTATTGGATGAATGACTATTCACCCCTCATCTCCTTAGTCAGACTGCATCCAGAAAAGAATACTATGACCCAGAGAAGCCGGAAGACACAGTGGAATGTTTGTGTCGATGCAAACAAGCTCCCCAGTGGGGGTCCCTGGGAGCAAGAAGCGCAGGGAAATGAGTCAGGCGCCACTGATCAGAAACGAGCTTGTTGACTTCCTCGTTAGTATTCCATATTTGTCCTAAGACTTTCCATGGAATCAGGAGGGAGCTCCCTGACTAACAGGCAGGCCCCCCCCCCCCCCCCCCAGGCGATCTAAGAAGAAGAGCCGAAATTAGTTCAGGGTTTTGTGGCGACACTGCTTTTCTGGAAGGCCTGAGCTCCCAAAGAGGCCAGATGTCCGGGAAGGAGAGCTTCACCCAACATATTGCACAATGCTCTGCACATCACTGAAGGCCCGTACATACGTACGTACTGCTGGACTTGACGTGAAACCACAGAAATGTCTCCTCCGTGCGGGGAGACAGAGGAGGCCAGGTTTCTCCTCTTCAGCAGGCCCGTGTTACACAGAGAGCATTTCACTTTGTTTTCCTGAAAATTCACAAGTGCGGCTGGCTGCAGGGTGTAGTTTAAACTGATGACGTTAAAAAGCTCTGCCTTTAAGTAGAACTGAGAGCAATTCACATCAGCCTCTCCTGGTCTTGGAAGGGATGGCAGCTGTAGCACACACGCCTGCAGTTGAGCAGCTTGGTATTTGCTAAGCTTGGGTTAGACCTTTATATCCAAATTAATCTGGAACTATGGAGGCAGAAAAACAGGAACCCCATTGGCAGCCCAGTCTGTGGGAAGGTGAAATTTATTTTTAACGGGCTTATTTATTGTGTCTGAAATCAGCCTTGATGAACCCGAGAGAAGAGTTTCAAGGCCCATGTGTTACAGCTCAAGGATGAGTCTGGGGCCCAGAGTCCAAACATACTGTGACTGGCTGCATGTTGCTGAACAACCGAAACAGCCCTGCATTTGTTATTTGCAGGGGGATCGCCAAGTTCCCTCAGCCCCCATCTATAAAAGACTAAGGACATATAAATGATGACTTTGCAGCCACTGTAACATAAGAAGGTCGGACCGAGGCACACAGTGGTAGGGTAAAAGAAGCTGCGGAGAAAGATATTCTCTTGAATTTATTCTCAGTTAAGACAAAACGAGGACAACCCCGTACGAAAGGGCTTCCTGCTTTGAGAGAAAGGTCCTGGGCCGAGAGAAGCTGCCCAAGTTTCAATACTCATTCAGGGGAGACCGACTGAGCATTTTCTGTGCATTAGACCCCAAAGATAAACTCAAACACAGTCCCTGCCCTCACAGAGGCCTGGAAAAACAGGAAGCCGGAGGTAATTGCTGCTTTTCAAGAGACACCAGAATGGAGTGTTCAGCCTCGTGAATATTTTGCTGCCCAACACAATGGCAGAATTGGGGACACAGGAAGACTACACTGAAACTGAGTGGCAGCCAGGGCGAATGATGGACCCTGAGGAGTTGGGACTTCATTTTGGGACCGCAAATTAAGCATCCAGCGAGATGTGAAACTAAAGTGAATCAACACAAAGACAAATGGAAGCAAGTCTCCCAGGTTAGGAAGGACTTAATAACATTTGTTGAACGCATGAATCTCTTCCACATGTCATCCCATCTATGGCTCACCTCGGATTCTTTGTAGTAACGTTCTGGAATTTCATCACAGGCGATATCAATAAAGCAAACTTCTCTCTCCAGGTCTTTGGCTTCATTGTCAAAAATCTGAAAGAGCAGAGCAACACATCAAAGGTTAGTGATGCCAGGTGACACCCTCAAGGTGCCCTCGGGTAGAATAACACCCTGCAGAGCACTTTCACGCGGCTCCTAGTTCTGGCTGGCGCTTTCCGCCTGCCTCCCGGTGCGCGGGAAGCGTGAAAGGCTTTCATTCACTGCCTGCGTTGTGCCGCATCACAGGCAGGTGTAGCATCAATCACCGCTTGGTGGAAGGAAAAGGAGGTTGTTTTTAGAAGTTCAAGAATGAAGAAATAAATCTCTCCCCAACTGATGTCTGATGATTTTTGGCAGTTAATCTGAACAGGAGTGAGGAGGCTAAAAAGAGTCTGACCAGAGGTGAGACACAAAGCAGTAATACAGCCTGAGATTTGGAGAATTAAAACATGTGGGTCTTTCTATCTATTTAATTTCACAAATAGTACATGCTCACTGTAGAAACTAAAAATACACATAAGAAAATAAGGATCATCCCCAATCCCATTACCCAGGGATACTCATGGTATTATTCTTGATCGTTAAGAGCATAGTTTCCTTGGAACACACAGGGGTAAGAAGGTTTGGAAAAGACACTGACATGGGGTCCTGCCAGTCTACACTGGGGTTCACGGCCTGCAGTGTCTATCACTTGCAAAGAAGCATGTGAGATAGCCACAGAGACAGATGCAAATTTTGGCGGAAAGATGGCCTCCCTCTAGTTTTTCTGGACTGAAGGGATGATCTTCCCAGACCTTCGGAAGGATGGTAAACAGAGTAAGCTTCCAAAAGCACTTCATCCTCTCAGGAAGTTTTAACGATACCCTCACTTTGCTGCTGAGCTAATTCCAGCAGGGGAGTCATCCGTCAACACCAATTAAAGCTGATTCTTCAGAAGGGAATGAAATATTTTGGAAGAACAGGGTGGTTGATGCCTAAGAACATTGTCTCGACACAAATTTGGTGCCTATTAATAACACGATCTCCCGGGAGGGCCACCGCAGGCCTCTTTGTATGCCATGCTCTTCCTGTTTTGATTCTCAAGGTGAAACTATTAGTCTTTTCCAAATGCTTTCTGAATAATACTGGTGCTGGTTATTATCCTCCAAGTCTGCTGTTTGCACTGTCGCTTATTTTCATCCAGGAGACTTGGCCTCTTTCCCATTTGTCCAAGGAGATGAACTCCACAGTCGGACCTGAGGGGCCACTGCATCCTCCTTAAAGGCAGAGAAAGGCTGGTTCCTGGATCAGCTGATTCCTCCCACTGTCACTTGAGGGCCAGTGCTTTGGGACACTCCCCCGATGTTTGGGAGGGACAGGTGGACTGCTTTGAAATGAGAGAGCGAGACCGTGGGGAAACAGGCTCAAGTTTGAGAGAAGAATTAAGTTGTGAAGTGAAATACTGGGTCTCAGATTGTCTGTGTGTTTTCTCCCACTCACTGAAGTGTGTGCCAAGAGAAGAAAGACTTGTGCCTCATTAGGAAAACAAAACAACACAGAATACCCCAGAGGGAAATGAGCTTCTGGAGAGTAAATTACAGAAGGAGTTAGAGAGGTCTGACATTTATTGGTGGTAAAATGTAAGGGACTGAAAAAAGGGGCACAGGGGTTAAGGGAGTTACTGGTGGATTATATGGCTTCTCCTACCTTAATTCAAACATTTTGATCACCCATTATACCAGTTATCACATTGCTGCCTGCCAGCTCCAAGTTCACCCTTTGGCCTCTGCTTTGAGATGGACTGGACCCTGTAAGCACTTCTCTTCTATAGCAGGTACAACCTTAAGCCATGTACTGGAGGGACCCCCTCAGGAAGAAGGGGGCTCTTCTTCCTGGTTTGGATCTTGCTCCTGCTGCAGAATCTGTCAATGGGGACATTCAGTGGTGCTGTCCCAGCTGTGTGCCCGGAGTGTCCTGTTGCTCGGTGACCTTGCAGCCCTGGCCTTCCCCATGGCCCCCTGGATGCAGCACCATGCACTTCAGGCCCTGCATTGGTTGTGGTGCTCCAACTCTACACACCTGCCATCAGTCATATGACCTGTGTCCAGCAGCTGTGGGCCAGCGCTGGTCCAGACAAACTTCTCCACCATTCTGTGGGCTGTGACCGCGACTTCTCCAACAGAGTCTGAGCCCCAGCCATGGAGAGGGGCCCCTTCCAAGTTTGTTCTTCCTCGGGTGCTCTTCCCCAACAGAGAAGCTCTGACTCAGGGCAAGTCTCCAGCCTTCACTACCGAGCTCCTCTCATGATAGAAAGCTGCCTCTTGGCCCGCAACCGAGAAGATACCTATCAGTCAAGAGTGTTTCCTGCTTCTTTCCAAGAAGGATGAAACTGGAATCTGGTTCTCCCACTGCTACTTATACAATGTATGCCCCAAACACTTGGAGCTCTTCTTGTCTCTGTTGAGTAGCTGAGGCTGCAGTGGGTACCCTTTAGTTCAAACTCTGGTCTCCTTCATTAATGTAACATTTAACCCTGCATTAAAGCTGATGAAATACCAAGCACCTTTGCATTGAACATTTTGGGGTGGGGTTCCCACCACTTGAACAAAGTCACAAAAAAATCACTTTGAGAACATCAACAGCTTCTTCAGTCTTTAGATTACAGAGTCATAATTTCCAATAAATAATTACTCTCTCAATGATTAGGGATTTTAGGAGATGCCCTTAGGTTTTCAACAAAAGCCTGCTGAATGAATTAATCTGAATTAATTAATCAGATTCTGCTTTCTAAAGAGAAGTGTATGGCAGGAATATCGCTTCCTCAATGATTTTAGTTCCCTTTCATGAGCCTTACTTCTATTTCCCTGGGTATAAGCACCCTGACTTTCCATAATTCCCACACAGGGCTCAGCGTCGAGTGGAACCCTCCTGGCCTTGGCTGACAGGCTCTACACTGGGAACCAGGAGATCTGAGTGTGAACTCAGTTACCTCCTCTGTGTGGCCTTGGGCAAGGACCTGCACCTCCCCAGAGCCTCCATGTCCTCATCTGCAAACTAAGAGGCTTTGGTGTAGATAGCCGGGATCAGGAAGTTGTAAAATGTCCTGCAATTGCACCCAGAATTTGGGGAGGTGCACTTTTCTGGAGAGATCGACTGCTTTCATCTGATTATCAAAGGGATCTGTGGTCCCAGTGAGGTTGAGATCAAGTGCTCCAGATCACCATGAACATTGTTCCCAGTTAAAATGTCTGTGATGTGGAGTGACCTCGGGGTCACATCAGTGTCCTAGGGCTCGCTCTCTGGCTCAGTTCTTTCCTGCCCCTTCCCTCCACAGCCAGCCAACTTGGGTGGTGCACAGAGGAAGTGGGGGTGGCCACGAGGGAGTGTCATCAGAGGCCACAACCAGGGTGAAACAGTCTAATCTTCACGCTCAATTTAGGGCACAATCCAGAATGATGCCAACACCATTACAGACGGAGGCTTAGCCAGGCCCCCAGGGAAAACAGCAAGAGTAAGTATTCATTTGTGCCTCTCCAGGCGCACTGACAGCAGCTGTCAGAACTCTGGTCCAACCACCACTTCTGCTGAGATAGCTTCAGGAGAAGATGCACCTCTGACAGGATCGTAACACCTAACACAGGTGTTACATACCCTCAGGCCTTGGGCAGAATTTGTTTCTTTTGGGGATGGCGGCTGGGTTTGGGAGTTGTTGTACAATAACTGTGGTAGTTTCCCTGTATCCCCTAACATTCCTGTCTTTGGTTATTTATCAGGGACATGCCCACCTACGGATCATCTGCAGTGGATTTCAGAGCCAATCTGGTTGACTCTCTACTCCTCTCCCCACTAGGCAATGAGCACACCATACACAATGTCCTGAGCAATACGACCTGAGCAGTACTCCAGTGAGAAGACGAGTCTCCCAAATAAATACTGTCTTTTAAAAATATATACATAGTATTTACTTATTGTTAGAGAGGGGAAGGAGAGAGGGAGAGAGATATCAATATCTCATGCACCCCCTACTGGGGACCTGGCCTGCAACCAAAGCATGTGCCCTGACTGGGAATGGAACCAGCGACCTTTTGGTTCGCAGCCCACGCTCAATCCACTGAGTTACACCAGCCAGGGATAAATACTGTCTTATAGATTCCAAAATATAAAAGTGAATAATTAACCCTTTTTTTTGGGGGGGGGGCAAAGCATTCTAACCATTAAGTATCAAGCACCTTTAAAATCTTCATATATTTTGACCTAGTAAGCTTAAGCTTTGAGAATTTATCTTTAGAATATTAAGTAAAGGGAAAGCCTTATGCAGAAAGATATTCACTGAGACATTGTAATGGCAAGAAAAAAAATACAGAGAAAGAAACAGCTTAAATATCCCAGTATGGGAGAATGGCCAAGGAAATGATGGTAAATCCATTTGATGAATGATTATGTAGCCATTAATAAATCCATTCATAAAGAAGATTTTCCCAGAGGGTATACACAGGGGTGGTGGGATGGAGAAAGGGAGATGCTCCATACTTAATACAGGCAAATGCTGAGTCTTGTGGTCATAAATCAGGAGGGAAAGGTGCAATGACAGACAGGGACTTTGTTTTAACCATGCACTAAACTTCTTCCCTGGACAGGAGTGTCTAGATTTTTGTAATCTCTCTTGCTTTGCTTCTCAAGTTTGTGATCTCTCATGACGGCCCATGGAGGGAGATCGCTGTGTCCTATGGCTTTTCAGAAACACACAATCCTGAGACTCGTGGATTCCGAGGCCCCTTTCTCTGTAATAGTAACTTTGGTGGTTTAAGGTCCAAGTTTAGATGGGGATGCTCTCTACTTTCTGCACAATCTTTCCGTAAACGTAAAACTGCTCTAAAAAATAAATAAATAAAGGCTATTATTTTTTAAAAAATTGATGGGGAGAAAAGATCCAAGCTTAGTGCTGTGTGGATTTTACCTTCCTGCCATCTGCCCAGGTTACCAAGGATGCAAGGTAGGGGTGGTCGATGAGTAGGGATTCGGAGATAAAGCTACCAGTCATCTTGTTTTATGCTTCAGAAATGATTAAAGGTACA